CTAGACAACGCAAGTTCAACTTCACGACGAAGGGACCGCTGGTTGTCAACAAACAATTTCCCAATTTCAGAGCCAATTTCAAAGCGAATGATATTGGACTCCAAACAACGCAAGTTCAACTTCACGACGAAGGGACCGCTGGTTGTCAACAAACATCTTCTCAATTTCAGAGTTAATTTCAACTTCACAACGAAGGATATTGGACTCCAGACAACGCAAGTTCAACTTCACGACGAAGGGACCGCTGGTTGTCAACAAACAACTTCCCAATTTCAGAGCCAATTTCAACTTCACAGCGAAAGATATTGGACTCGAGACAACGCAAGTTCAACTTCACGACAAAGGGACCACTGGTTGTCAACAAACAATTTCCCAATTTCGGAGCCAAATTCAACTTCACAACAAAGGATATTGGACTCGAGACAACACAAGTTCAACTTCACAACGAAGGGACGACTAGTTGTCAACAAACAATTTCCCGATTCCAGAGCCAATTTCAACTTTACGACGGAGGATATTGGACTCGGAACAATGCTACTTACTTGGATTTCAACTTCACGACGAAGGATATCCAATTCCAGGCTCAACTTCACGACGAAGGGGCCACCCGCGGTTTCAACTTCATGACAAAGGGAATCGTGCACACAAGCATCATCCATCTTTAGATTGGATTTCAACTTCACGACGAGGGATATCCAACTCAAAGAAGGATTATCTGTCAACAAAGACCTTTGAGTTCGACTACGCTAAGCTCCAAGGCACATCATTTACAGCATAACTCAAGGCTAGAAGGGTTATCTGCCATCAAAATTGTCGAGTTCGATTCCATTCAGCTCGATGACACATCAATCGCACTACTTTCCGGTTGCAGTCGAGGTTTTCAAGTCGAGAAGAAGACCTGGGTTAGCCGTCATGAGTGACAAGCAACCATTTTCAAGCAGCATAGCTTAAGTCAAGAAAAAGCTATATGTCAATGAAGATTTTTGAGTTCGATTCCGATCCAAGGTCTTTAAACCGAGAATAAGACCGAAGGGCAATAGGAAGCCACGTGTTGATTCAAATTCTGAACTACGGCTTCAATTTCATATCATTTCAAGATGAATTCGACTTCACGATGGAGGAGTCATACGTAACTCAATTCGACAGGGAGTTATTGAAACATCAGAGTTAATTTTCAACTCCACTGAACGAAAAGTGTGTCTTTTAATCTTTGCCCTATCCCCGTTACACGACTATGGGCAAAGAGGGGCAGCTGTCAACACACCTTTTCGTCCTACTAGGATTCAAACTCCTAAAAATAGGATAGAGTTCTACTATTATTTAAACTCCTAAAGATAGGATCCACAAGCATTATAAATAGTCATTGTAACTCACTATTGTAAGACATTCGGAAGAGGATATACGAAATACCAAGCAAAAAATTACAAGCAACTCGTAGCCATTTTTCGAAGCATTTATATTTTGAAAGGTAAAGTTCATACCTTCGCATGTTATTTTTCCTTACCCTTGTTGTGTTTTGATTCGAAAGAAAACTGAGAGAAGTGTTTTTGGCCGATGAATGGGGGCGCTTTCGAGATCTATTTTTGTAGATCTAGTCCCCGAGGCTTGTGTTTGTGAAAAACTATTCGGATTTTTATAAACGGGTCGTGTGGATCCACGTGTTTTGTCGTTTTTTTCTTCGATTGGCTTTTAATTTTGACCCCTAATTCATTTTTTATTTTAATTTAACCTTTATTATTTATATGTATATATATATATTTAATTATATTTATTTATTTATTTATTATAATTTTTTTTCATTTTTCTTTGCGTTATATTATATTATTTTCCTATTATTATAATATATATATATATATATATATATATATTATTTTTATCTATGTTTACTTATTTACTATGTTTTTTTACTATATTTTCCTAACATTATATATATATTCTTACTTCATTTTATTTTATATTTCTATGATTACTATTTTTAGTTAATATTATATGTATATTTATTTTTTTATTTATTATTATTGTTAATATTAGTATTTTATTATATTATACATACATTTTATATTTTTTATATTTTTTATTTTATTATTTTATTTATACTATTATTTATTTTCATTATGTTTTTAGTTTCTTTGCTCTTATTATTATTTTTCTGTTTTTTAAAAACACTTTACCTTTTTTATTCTTTTTTGTATATATATTTTTTTCTTCATTTATTTTATTTTATCCATTTTCACTTTTTTATATTTGTTTCATCCAATTAGTTTATGTTTATTATTATTGGTTTCATTTATTTCCTTGGTTTACTCTTTAGTTTTGTTACTTTCTTTATTATTATTATTTTCTTTTAACATCTTATTTTAATTTTTTAAGGGTATTTCCGTAAACTCATTAAGGGTAAGTAATTCGGATCAAATTTTACCTTTTAATTTAACTTGCAATTTTCTTAATCAAAGACAACTGGAAATTACGTAGTACCGAAAGGGCGGTTCAAGGGTGTTAATCCTTCCTTGACCGTAACTGACTCCCGAACCCGACACATCTTTGGAAAGAAGCAGATCAGGTAAGAAATAGGGTATCCGATCAACCCATTTGTTTTAAATAAATGATCGGTGGCGACTCCCAATCCACATTTTTCAAGTTGAAACTCAATTCTAAGGCCCAACCGAAAGAAGGTTACGACACATTGCCTTTGGCTGCTTCATTATGGGATGAGAAGGTTATCTTCATCCTTGTAGGAAAGAGGTGTTGTGTTCGGATGTATCCTTTGGAGCATGATCAAAGGTCTTTGTTTTATAATGATTTAATCTTGTTATTTGTCAAAAGACTATAACCCTAATTTTCAAATAACATTTTGTTATATTTGAGATTCATTGAACTTAAATAAGGAATTTATTTCATTTCTCATAGCCTAGAAAAGTAGCGTTTATTCAATTAAACAATTTTAAAAACATATGTTAAAAGAATGAAAGAACAATAAACACATTCGAACAAAACAATATGCTTTCATGCAAATGCGATTATATACCATGATGGATGGACAATGGCCTCCAATGATTAATCCTGGAATGCCCAAAAAAATCTAAAATGGGCATCTGAAATACTTTGAGGGTTACATTCATTTGATCAATACGTCTTCGGTCACGAGTGTTGGCCATGAATTATATTTGCTTCAACCTTCTTGTTCTAGCCTTCAATCATCGTCTTCTTCTTCTACTTTTCCACCATGTTGCCTTCTTTTTGTTCGACTATGTTAATTCCAATTGGACAAGGGATTTCTAATCTTCGGGTCTCAATATTCTGATTCTTTGCCTCGTAGTTCTTAGTTCCACGATCCAAAGTCCTTGAACTTTATCAGGATGTTTTTGTTGGGGGCATTTATGGTTGGACACAACACGGTTCGATCAGCCAAGCTTCGAGCATTTCAGAATGCAAATTTTTGTTTAAGAGGTGGTGTAACACCCTCATCACATAGATTCGAGTATCACACGGAATCACTGAAGTGACTAAACATTTTTCTTTCTTTTGAAACCATTTCATTTTAAAATTACACCAAATATAAAAAATTAGTAATCCACAAAAAGCAAGGTCTCAATTTAAAAATCCAATAAATAAATGAAATATTACAAGTTGACCATTTTCAAAACATAACCTCTACATGTTCACCAAGTTGTAATCATTGTACTCAGGTACTCCCCCGAGACTCCTCCGATGTTCTCGATGTCCTATTGTTCTCCACATAACTTGTAATCTACAAACGGAAACACTTTTCGAATGTTGAGCTCCCAAGCTCAGTGTCACACAATAACTCTACTATACATGTATTCATAACATAAGTATGTCAAAGAGTTTATAGACTAAAATTTAATAAAAATAAAGTATAGAGACTAAATTTTAAATTTGATATATTAGGGAGAGTCTTGGTATATCTGAACTTTTCTTCTTCTAATAATATGGTGAGATATCAACGGTACTACAAATCAAACCACCATTTCAATCACACTGCTCAACCGCTACAGTTCATTCATTTCTCAGTTGCTTCTAAAACTAGTTAGATCTAAATCATCGCCTACTACTAATATTCATTTATGAATCTTGAATGTATAACATTTATGTTGGTGGATGGATGGAAAATAATAAAAAATAATAATTAATATTTTAATCTATGTTTTCTTCAAACAATATTGAGTCCTAATTTCGGTAAGAGTAGGGACGGATGTAATATTTTACATTAAGACTTAAGAGTGTAAATTTCTAAAATTTTAGGTGTAAATAAATTTAAAAATTTTCATAGAGGTAAAATCAGATTTTTAATAAAAAGTATATAAAAAATCTGAAATATATGTAATTTTTAAAATTTTAAGGGGAACTATGTCTGCACCTACCCTCGATCTATCCTGATTGAGAGTCTTGATCCTCAACGTAAACTCTGTGGAAGTCCATGTAAACAATACGGAGAGTTGGTTGAATTTTAAAGCATTTGATTTTATCATTCATTTGTAGGCTTACTATTAATCCTTGATGTTTTTACTTTCATAACTCTTATATTACTTTTTCGCAAGAAACCAATAATCATACCACAACGATCGATTTTGTCAACTTTTAGCAAATAATGAAACGGAATCAAAGGTTACAAACAGGTGATTAATGCTTAATCATCAAATTATTTTTTTAGTTTGAGTGGTTACAAATTAATATTTATTCGAAAGATTCTCAATTATTTGATAATAAAAAATCCAAATAACCTTGCAATCGTCGTGCTCAAAATTATTGAATACGTGCAAAGATGGTAAAAATAAAACAGATGTAGTTAAGGGGTTAGCATTAGAGGCGGTGGGCACTAAGTACTTGTACAGGGAAATGTGGACCAAGAACAAGGTGTTTGCCGAACCATATGTGTATATAACCCCTATTTCTTACCATCAACCATTGCTAAAATCTTCAACCTCTTTCCAATCTCTACTTTCCAAAGCTCCGTAGAAAACAATGGGTTCAACCCAAATGACTCCACCACGTCTCCGATGACGAAACAAACTTATCGCTATGCAACTCGCCAGTGCCTCTGTGCTACCATGGTCCTCAAGTCAGCCATAGAGCTTGACCTTCTCGAGATCATGGCCAAAGCTGGTCCTGATGCTTTCCTTTCCCCTAAAGAATTGGCTTCCCAGCTCCCCAACAACAACCCCGACGCACCGGTCATGCTCGACCGCATCTTGCGCCTCCTGACTACCTACTCCATCCTCACTTGTTCCTTGCGCACCCTTCCCGATGGAAAAATAGAGAGACTCTATGGTCTTGGCCCTGTTTGCAAATTCTTAACTAAGAATCAAGATGGCGTCACTCTTTCTGCTCTCACTCTCATGAATCAAGACAAAGTTCTTATGGAGAGCTGGTTAGTAGCTCCAGAAACTTCATTTACTTGCTTCTTTCCCTTTACCTATGTCAATTAGTAAACTGATGAGATCCATTCCAATTGAGATTGGATTGAGAATTGTGTATGATTGGACCATTTGCAGGTACTACTTGAAAGATGCAGTGCTAGAAGGTGGCATTCCCTTCAATAAGGCCTATGGTATGAGCGCATTCGAGTACCATGGTACGGACCCTAGATTCAACAAGGTTTTCAACAATGGAATGTCTAATCATTCCACCATTGCCATGAAGAAGATTCTTGAGACCTATGATGGCTTTGAGGGACTTAAAACACTGGTCGACGTTGGTGGCGGTATCGGCGCCTCACTGAATATGATCGTCAACAAGTACCCTTCGATAAAGGGCATTAACTTCGATTTGCCTCATGTCATCGAGGATGCTCCAGCATATCCTGGTGTGGAGCATTCTGGTGGAGACATGTTTGAAAGTGTTCCAAAAGGAGACGCTATCTTCATGAAGGTGAGTCAATATAAAAAATTCGTGAAGAAAGAAAATAATAATATTAACATAAAATTCTCTTATTTTATATTCAATAATTAAATTATTATTATAACTTTAAAGGTATTATCTAATGATTGAGGTTTGGTTTTTCTTCGAAGGTGTGTTTTTTCATTTCTTATATTATAAAACAGCTTGGGATCGATCTATGAGTAAAACAAAGTAAATTAAATGACTGATCTCTACAAAGTCTACTTGCAACGATGTTGGTAACCAATTTTATAATTTTGTTGTTTTGATTTAAAGAATAAACCTCAAACAAATGTTATATAACTTATTAGTATATCGATTTTATATAAAATCTGACATATTTTAAATATGATTAAAAGTATTAAGATTATTTTTCTTAAATTTTACCAATAAGAAGATAACATGTATTGTCATCTTATTCGATGTTTAAATTTATTAAATTATGATTAATATTATTGAATGTAATCATAAAAGACTAAATATATATTATAAAAATTTAAAGCTATCATATCAGTCATGTGTTATGAATTAAAATCATATTTTTTGATTAAAATTAAAATAAAAGTTTAGTGACTTAATTGTCAATATTTTTATTCCGTTATAAAAAATATAAGTAACCCATAATTTTGTGTGTCTCATCAACCATGAATTTTACTGATGCAGTGGATATGTCACGACTGGAGCGATGAACACTGTTCAAAATTATTGAAAAAGTGCTACGAAGCTTTGCCGGACAATGGAAAAGTAATTGTTGTAGAATCCATTCTTCCAGATTACCCGGATCCTAGCCTCACCACGAAGTTAGTTGCCCATGTTGATTGCATCATGTTGGCCCTCAATCCTGGCGGGAAGGAGAGGACCGAGAAAGAATTTGAGGCATTGGCAAAGGGTGCAGGGTTTCAAGGTTTCCAAGTAAAATGTTGTGCTTTTGGAACATACATCATGGAGTTCCTCAAAAGAGTTTGAATCTGTTTGAAACTATATTTGGTATTGTCTTACAGGTGGTTTGCTCAAATAATGTCGTTTTCTGTTTTGCATAAAATAAACAAGAAAAGACATGGGTGCATTGCTTTTCTTCGTATCAGTTTAGAGAGGTTTAAGGAATATGATTTGGGATTTCATCGGATATAGCTAAAAGAATTGTTGGAATTCTTAATTTAGATATGGACCCCGTGTAGATTCTTTCGGGGATCGATCTATAGCCATTATATGTGGAATTTCTTTTTCAATAAAGAATATATCTGTTGTGCTAAAAAGAATTAAGAAAAGCGATTTTCTTAATTTATTTGTTTGTCAAGATGTGGATCTAGTTTATTCCAACCTTATTATAATGCTAAAGAATTCATGAAGCAGATTGTATGAATATTTGGTTTGTTGGCATTTTCTATTATAAAATTTGGAAAATGGAATGAGAGGCTATCATTATAAATTGGATTTGAATGATATTTTTACCAAACTGAATTTAACTTCAATTCAAGCATCAGATAAATCTATTTATTCTTGTTCATCTAGAAAAAGAAAATCCAATCTTTTTTACAATTCAAAATTGATTCTATATCATGTTAATATAATGTATATTTGTTTAGTTTCTTCATTTATGAATCCTTGCATGTTGCCATCGAAAATTTGATTTATTTTTTGGGACATAAGAGATTAGGTCTTATGTTTGTATCGAGAGACTCTTTCATGATTATAATGGCTTCAGTAATATAGTTTGATCGTGAGTTATATTACACGGATGCGAGGATTATATTTCTCAATGGTGAAATTGATGGTGATTTATACGGTGCAATTAAAAAAATAGATCTAATTAAACAAATTAAATGATATGAAAATTAAGTAAATTTATCTGTAAACGTAAGTAGGCCTCTCTTTAATTGAATTAAAAATTCCGATCCTCCTTCCTTGCTAAAGTCCGTGCCAAGTATTATTCATTTCCAGCGCATGCACTGCTTCGCTTTGAAATCGATGGCTGCGTTGCACCACACTCTCCATCTCAATGATCTCGAGTACAATATATATTGATTACAAAGAAAAACTGTCAGGCAGTGATTATTCAATATGATTGATGGTCATGCCCTTGGTGAGGGTGCGTCCCAAACCTCTTGTACGACCGAGACGAGCTAAAGCATCAGCAACACTATTTGTTTCCCTTTTGACATGATTAATGGTGATGTTCCAGTGGAGTTGGAACAGGCTTTGGATCCGACGAATAATAGGGGTTTCATGCATCGGGGCAAGGACTTTAGAATTCCTCAATGCTTCTATATTATAAGTGTCCACTTCAACATGGTATGCTCCATGTTCCCAAGCTATAGAAAAACCATCACGAATCGCGTAAAGTTCGGCATGGAGGACCACTTAAGTTATTTTGTGAAAATAAACCTACAATAACTTTATCCAATAATAACAGGAAGACATCAAAGATAAAGCACATAATCATTAAGCTCCTTGTTAAAGAAAGTTTATAGTGAATATGTGTCTATAGGGCATATTGGAAAAACATTGTAATATCCCAAAAAAAAATTTAAGGATTAAAGCGGTAAATTTGATTCTCTTTAGGAACAGTAGGGTAATTTCCATAAGTTATGAAATTAAATTATATTTTTGGAATAAATGATTAATTCGTAGAAATTGAGTTTATGAAAAAATTAGTACTAAATTAAAATAAATGAATTATGTATATCTAAAGTAAAAAGAAAGAAAGAATTGGACTGTTTAATGATTAATTTACCCAAACAAAATGGAAAGATTGTACCAGAAACCCATATAAAAATTGGATTCTCTTCAAGTGTCCTTTTAAACATATAGCATAATCTCTTCTGTCTTGCGCCTATTTTTTCTTAAAGTGTGTTAATTTTACTAAAATTTTTGTTTATGGTGGAGGTTATGTCTCAAATCTCTAAATATTTGCAAAATATAAATTCTTGATAAAACATGGACTTGTAGATAAATTAAAACAAGAGAACAAATATAATTTGAATGCAATTTTACGACTTATCAATTTATAAAATAGTCTCTTTTTTCTTAATTAAAAGCAATTCTTTAATTAATTCTTTAATAAGTACCAAAGAACGACACAATCAATTCTTGAAATGTTCCAAACAGTGCTCAATTATTGATAAATTTTTATTTATTTTTAAAGATTCAGGGTTAAATTGATAAAAAAAAACTATAACTTAAGAGATCAAAAGTTATTTTGCCGTTTTTAAAACTACCTGCAGATTAGCAATTACCTGTAAATTTAAACAAAAAATAGGGAATAAGAAAATAATACATGACCTTAATTTCACAAAAACAAAGAATATGAACTAAAATTTAAATGTTAAAATAATACGGGCAGTCTCGTATATATAAACCTTTCTTTCTTCAAGTAATATGGTTGTTAGAAATCAAACCAAATTTTACTCCGACAGTTTGGATGAAACAAGACATTCGGCAAAGCTTGAATTTCTTAAAAACTAAGGAATAAAAAATCAACAATAAATAACATTGAATGAACAACAGTAAGCAACGCGTGGCAACAAAAATGATCAAAGAATCAAGGCGGTAAATAGGAGAAAGATTTGGCAAAGCAAGCAAAGAATTGCCTGGATATGAACATGTACACTTGGAGAATTAAAAATGTATATATATATATATATATATATATATATATATATATATATATATATATATATATATATATGTTTGGTGTTAGTTTAGTTTGTATGTGTGTGAGAAGAAGAATTAGAGTGATAGTGAGGAGCTTAGCAAAGTTCGTATTAGTTGTGTTTAAAGACTAGTCAAAGTTAGTAATGTGTTGGTGTTGTATCATATTTTTGATACGTGTTAATAAAATCGTGCAAATGAAAGTTTATCGAGTGTCCGTTCACGCTTCCAGGTGCACAAAAAATTCGAATATCCGATTTTGTGCAAAAAATATCCGAAACCGGATTTGGGAAAAACCGTTTTTTTTAAACTGGATCGGATATTTTAAAACCGGATAGTATAACCGGTTTGAGAAAAAATTGGACGACCGGATTTTTTACCGGATTAAAAACCGGTTTGAAAAAAACCGGATAAAAAACCAATTTTTTATCCGGAAAAAAATCCGGTCTGGGGTTTAAAAATCTGGTATGGGGTTTAAAAAATTGGATGACCGGATTTTTTACCAGATTAAAAACCGGTTTTTTTCAAACCGAAACCGGTTACACCGGTTACATCATCCGGCCCTCCAAACCGGTTATGATCCGAACCGGTTTTTTGGCTTAGTGAAAAAACCGGATCGGTTTTTATCCGATCCGGATCGGATTTAAATCCGGCTATGTGCATCTCTACTTCCAACAATGATGAGATGTCAATGGTCCTGTAAATCAAACCACCATTTCAAGCATAATCAAACCACCATTTCAAGCATAATGTTCAACCGTTACAAAATATTCATTTCTCAATTGCTTCAAAAACGAGTTAGATCTGAATTTACTACTACTAATACTCATTTATAAAAATTGAATGTATAGCATTTATGTTGGTGGATGGATGAAGCAAAAATCAAAATACTTAATATTCTAATTTCTAGAATCTATTAAGTGACTTCAGTGGTTAAAGTTTCTTTAACAATTCTGGGTTCAAGCAATTACGTCTACAAGGTGTGTATGCATTAACAATGATTAAGAAAAAATTCTGAACAGATATTACCGACTATTAAAAACTATTCTAATCTCTATTTGTTTAAAAAATATTGAGTCCTAATTGAATACCGTAATTTGATGGTTGTCTAAACCTTTTGATCGAGTCATGTTCCTCAACGCAAACTCTAGGGAAGCCTATGTGAACAATATGGATCACATATACAATATAGTCTCACACTATAAATAGAGTACTCTTGATTGCATTCTACAATACAAAACAAAACTTTTATATATAGAGTTAACATAATTAGACAAATAGATAACTATTAGAAGAAATTTCGAATTTTAATGTAAGCGCAAATATATCTCGTCACTAACTATATCAAAGTATAGTCCGAACCAATCTGTCTTTTTTGAAGGTAGATGACCAATCATTAGATACAAGCAAAGTTGGCAAAAATAATAGAGGCGTAGTTTAGGGGTTAGCATTATAGGTGGTGGGCACCAAGCACATATACATGGAAATTTAGATCAAGAACAAGGTGTTTGTTGAACCATATGTATGTATATAACTCCTCTTCGTTCCCATCAACCATTGCCAAAATCTTTTACCTCTTTACAATCTCTACTTTTATTTAGCTCCTTAGAAAACAATGGGTGAAACCCAAATGACTCCCACCCACGTCTCCGATGAGGAAGCAAACTTATTCGCCATGCAACTCTGCAGTGCCTCCGTGCTACCCATGGTTCTCAAGTCAGCCATAGAGCTTGACTGCTGGAGATCATGGCCAAAGCTGGTCCCGGTGCTTTCCTTTCCCCTAAAGAATGGCTTCCCAGCTCCCCACCAACAACCCCAATGCACCCGTCATGCTCGACCGCATGTTGCGCCTCCTGGCTACCTACTCCATCCTCGTTTGTTCATTGCGCATCCTTCCCGATGGGAAAGTAGAGAGACTTTATGGTCTTGGTCCTGTTTGCAAATTCTTAACCAAGAATCAAGATGGTGTCACTCTTTCTGCTCTCTGTCTCATGAGTCAAGACAAGGTTCTTATGGAGAGCTGGTTAGTAGCTACAAAAACTTCATTTACTTGCTTCCTTGGCTTTTCCTTTGTCAATTAGTAAAGTGAAGATCTTATCCAATTGAGAATTGTGTATGTTGGGACAATTTGCAGGTATTACTTGAAAGATGCAGTGCTGGAAGGTGGAATTCCCTTCAATAAAGCCTATGGTATGAACGCATTCGAGTACCATGGTACGGATGCAAGATTCAACAAGGTTTTCAACAATGGAATGTCTAATCACTCTACCATTGCCATGAAGAAGATTCTTGAGACTTATGATGGCTTTAAGGGAATCAAAACCCTAGTTGATGTTGGTGGCGGCACCGGAGCCACGCTTAATATGATCGTCACCAAGTACCCTTCCATAAAGGGCATTAACTTTGATTTGCCTCATGTCGTAAAGGATGCTCCGGCTTATCCTGGTGTGGAGCATGTTGGTGGAGACATGTTTGAAAGTGTTCCAAAAGGTGACGCTATTTTCATGAAGGTGAGTTCAACTCGACTAAAAACTAAACTATATTTTTCCCCTATTCCATCCTCATGTGACTTGTTTATTAAGGGAAACACTAATAATGAAAAAAAAAGCATGTATCTAAAGTTTGGGTAAACTACCTTATTGGTCACTAAATTATAGGTTCGATTCTATTTAACAACAAAACCACACTGAAAGTTTAATGGCCTAATTAAAATTTTATTTTTTAGTAGTTAGAATAGAATTGACCCATAATTTAGTGACCAATAAGTTAGTTGACCTTTACAGTTTTGTACGTCTTAGTAACCGTGAATTTTACCGATGCAGTGGATATGTCACGACTGGAGTGATGAACATTGCTCAAAATTTTTGAAGAAGTGTTACGAAGCTTTGCCAAGTAATGGAAAAATAATTGTTGTAGAATCCATTATTCCAGATTACCCGGATCCTAGCCTCGCCACGAAGTTAGTTTTTCATGGTGATTGCATCATGTTGGCTCTCAATCCTGGTGGAAAAGAGAGGACTGAAAAGGAATTTGAGACCTTGGCAAGAGGTGCAGGGTTTCAAGATTTTCAAGTAAAATGCTATGCTTTTGGAACATACATCATGGAGTTCCTCAAAAGTGTTTGAATCTGTCTTTGTTATATGTTTGGAACTATTGTTTTTTTATTGTCATGAAGGTGGTTTGCTCAAATTATGTCGTTTTCTCTTTTGCATAAAATAAATAAGAAAATAATAAAAGAGATTTTCTTTTTGTGTGTTTAGAATAAATATTGTTTTGCCAATATGATGATAAGTCTATTTCGACCTCGTTGTAACTACTAAATAAATTTTGAATTGATGTTTTTTAAATAGCATAAAACCTAAACTTTGAGAATAATTTATGAAGAAACTGATTGTATAAATGCATAATTTGTTCTTTGTTGCCATTTTCTATTCACAAATCTTGGGAAAACCAACGAGTTGGTTTAAGTGATAAGTAGTTTGATATCACTTAAGCAGGTCTTGCGTTCGAGTCCTTCTGTATGCAGAAAATCCTCACCGGAGACTCACCCACCAAAACCATGCATGCGACCTGGATCGATCTGGATTAGTCAAGGCAAAGCTTTGAGAACTGGAAGGGGAAAAAAGATTTTCTATTTACCGATGAATTTAAGTATGATTTCAAATATAGTTTATTTTTCACGAACCAAGCGACCTTGATAGTAAAAGAATTGTTGTTATTCCTTGAGGTCCGGAGTTCGAACACCATGGATGCTAGAGGTATAAGCGTTCAATATCAAATGATTTAGAGGCATAAACGTTCAATACAAAATGATTTAGAGGTATAAACGTTCAATATCAAAAACTTTTGTAAAATGGTGAGCAAGATCAAATCCATATAGAGGGAGGTTAGACTAACTCCTAAAAGATAAATGAGAAAATAAAATTTAGGGGGTTTTATAATCAAACTAAATAAAAACTAATAACAAATAACAAATAATATAATAAAAATAATAAAATCTAGGAAAATTCAAGTGTGAATAAATATCTAATCAAGAGTGATCACAATTTTCGACCCATGAATTGATCATTGATATTGTGAATAATTTTTTAAACATTTTGAATAAATTAATTATAGTTATTCGAGATACTCTAATAATCTAATATCTACTTAGTTTCTTAGTAATCAAAGAGATGTTCAAAAACTTACATCTTTTATTGATAAACAGTCTCACAGAAACACTCATAGAATTTAATCTATCAATAGTCTTATAATTTAGTGAGATTCAATTCTAACCAACCACCTCACACCAACGTGGATGATTTAAACTAGTTATAACACTTTTATAACTTAATTTATTTACTACTTGATTAAAACCTACCAATTATCAATGAATTAATTCTAATTAGTTTTTATATTGAGTTGAAAAATTAAAGAGTAATTAATTCATGGAATTCATAAATCAATAACAACATGAACATAATATATAAAATCATTCAAGAATCTAAAAAACTGTATGTTGTATGAACATAACATATATATAATAAAAAAATAATGGTATGTTATTTATTATCATAAAATGATTAGTCTAAGTTAGAGGTATCAAATATGATTAAAGTTAATTGGGCTTAATTCCAAAATAATAGCCTTAGTTCCAAAGTTTAAGAACCTCATAGAGATCTCAGAATTCCGGCCAATAAGTTCTATTGGCTCGCTTTACAAAATTATTGCCAAAGTTCTTGCTCGAAGAATGATGTGATGAAGAAGCTGATCAGCGAAACCCAGTGCGCTGCCTTTATAAAGAGGCGACAGATATTCGGTGGCATCTTCATAGCTAATGAAGTCATTCGATGAAGCAGGGGAATGAAGTGAGAGGAGTAATGCTGAAATTGGATTTTTCTAAAGCCTGCGATTGTCTGATATGGGAATTCTTGGAAATAGTTTTGCAAAATATGGGATTCGGGGTTAAGTGGAGAAGGTGGATTTGTGAGTGTATTTCTTCAGTGAAAGTGTCTGTTGAAGTAAAAGGCGCCCCTACTAGAGAATTTCGAATGCGGAGGGGGTTAAGACAAAGCGATTCTTTATTCCCGTTTCTATTTATAATGGTTAAAGAAGCTTTGCATCTTTTGTTAAATGAAACGGAGATTTGTTGGGCTAATAGATGTATCTAAAACGTAATCTTGGGCACTCCTTTACTCATCTTCAAGTTGCAGACAACACAATTCTATTTCTTAAGCCGAAAGACACTTACATGGTGAATGTGAGGAATATATTGAGATGCTTCGAAGTTTGCTTGGGTTTGAGTATAAATTTTAGTAAATCTTGCTTTGTGAGAGTTGGAATGGTTACGGAAAATTTAAAGGCGATGGCACAACTGTGTGGGTGTCAAGTGGGCAGCTTCCCGTTTACTTCCAGTCGGAGTAGATCCATGAAAGGTTAAGACTTGGGAGCTAGTGGTGTAAAAATTTCATTCCAAATTAACTGGTTGGAAATGTAGAACTCGCTGGGCGAATTATTCTCATTAATTCGATATTGTCTTCTCTCCCTTTCTACTACATGTCTGATATTTGAAGTAACAACAATGGTAATTCTTGGACAATTTTCAGTAAAAAAGTTGACAGAATTGATTGTCAATTTAGGGATGGATGATTCTGCTTTCAATTTCCATCTTATCTGAAAACTAAAGAAAGTTAGAATTTCTTGTGGATGTTGCACTTGGACAGAATTCCAACTAAGGTTTTCCTTAGCAAGAGAGGTGTTAATTTAGTGCATATGTTGTTGGTGTGAATCCGAAATTCAGGATCAAATCACATGTTTATAGAGTGTCTCAATGCCATGTTTTTGGAGACAACTTTGTAACCGGTGGGGAGTTACCTGGACTAGAACGCGTGATGTGAAAGAGCTATTCGAGTTTTGTTTTTCTGTTTCCTTTTCAGCTACATTGAGAAGCTTGTAGCTAATCTCGTTGGCAGCGACTTTTTAGAGCATTTGGCTGGCACGTAATGAGAAGGTGTTTAATGAAAAATCCATAACTCTTAAAGACCTCGTCTTCTACTCAAAGTTATGTGCTCTAATCTGGGTTAAAGCAACCAAGGGTGACAGGTTTTCAGAGATAGATGAATGGTGGGATAACCCCAAGTCATGCTTGAAGAATTACTACAAAGGTGTCACTTATTGCTCGGTGTGGTCTCCCCCGTCGATTGGCATTGTGAAGTTTAATGTTGATGAAGCGGCGAAGAATGGAAAGCAGGGTGTGGCAGAGTTCTACGCACAGACGAGGGTGTAATTCGAGCTTTATATTCAGGGTCGACGTTGGGTTTGGGTTCTGATTTTGCACAAGTTGCTGCAATTAAAATTGCGTTACAAGTGTTTGTAGAGGTTAATTGGATAAGAAAGGCCGAGTTGGTGGCAGAATCTGATTCAAAAGTGCTTTGGATTGAATTGATAATCCACTTCAGCTCCCGTGGAGTTGGTGGTCGACTTTTGTTGATATTGATAGTCTGATCCACAAGATTGCAAGATCCAATTTGCTCATGTGTTCAGAAACTGCAATGTAATGGCAGATTACCTTGCAAAATCATATATGCAAAGACAATCTATGTTCAAAGCATGGTGGTGATAGCTGCTTCAACACATTTACTTCATCATGGATGTGACCTCTGATTAGAATCAATCTGCAGCTGGTGTTTCGTCTTTGTATTCAATCTGCAGTTTGTTGTTTTGTTATCCATGTTGTTTCCTTCTACTGTTTGTCTTGTGGTTTTTAGTGTCTTGTTGTTTGGTTTCTCTTTGGTTAGGCGGTCTGTTGTTCTTTGTGGAAGCTTTTGTTTTAGCAACTACCCGTGTTCTGTGGTTTGAAACATCGCCAACAATCAAATCAGGAATTTAAATACTGTTCTGCTATTTGGAATAGCGGTAAAGTTACCATCCAAAACCATTATTTCACAACAGTGATATTCATAATAATTGCAATAGTACTTGTTATTGTCACAATCGTGATAAATGTAAGACAATTGAAAATGCGACGGTAACTGCATTTTAAATCTCTTAATCAAAACTCAAGCTGAAGCAGTTGGGATGCTCTACAAGCGGACAATTAAACAGTCGGCCGCCATTTCCGGCATCAGAAAATGGCACATTGCCTTATTATTTAGGGTCGTTTAGTGAAGTTTTACGTTCTGCGTTTTGGTAAAATAAAAAGAGTGGCTATTTTACACCATGACAAGTACCAATTTAATGGGGCAGGCAAATCAGTTCTTGAAAAGTTCCAAACAATGTTGTTGGTCGAGGTTCCTGCTCCAGAACTTACTATAGTACTCGGCATAAGTAAAATCCCTGTACACAGCTCCACATCCATCTTCAGTGAGAGGTTTTGCAGGGCTGATCAAGGCATGGTCGTAAGGGCAAAGGAAAGAAGCAACAGACATCCTTTCCTTATCGGCATTTACAATGGCCCGGTGCCACACGCTCTTGTACCTCCCATTACTCAATGCCTGCAACATTTTCGAATGTCACCATCAATGTGACTAATGCAAATAGTGGGCTAAACTTTGGGAAGTGGGGTTACTCATATTTAGTGAGGAGTTTGGGCGGGTAATTATGATTTGATGACTTTATTCTTCTATTACTCTTGTAAAAGGGATAGGACCTACCCCCTAATTGGTACATAATTAGATGGTTCCTTTCTTTTCTTTTAAGAAATTTTTTGTTTAAGAGAGTTACACAAGATTATGTTGTTAGGGATAGACATGGATAGGGTTTTCGTTCAATTCGATCCGAAAAATATACAACATCCACTTGAAATTCGACCTGACCTAAGTTTAGGATGACTTCACCCAACCCAAAGCCCGACCCGTCTTTTGAAAAAAAACTCAAATCCAAGATGATCTGATACAAATATATTAATAAAAAATCTTAATTTTATTTGATAAAATAGGGATCTAATTGAAAAAATAAAATAGAAAGGGGTGCTATTATAATTATCATTAAATGTATAAGGTATAATTACATTATTTTTCTGATCATGTATTTTTTATCCTAAACCTAATCTGATCAAACTTATCATCTACAAAACCCGACTCAAACCCATATTTTTTATAAAAAAAACACACACACAACCGAATAGGGTAGGTTGCGTTCGAGACTTGCGCTCATCCCTAGTGTTAATCTTGGAAGGCAGGCAAAACTACTTTTAAAACAATAGCATATATCACGACACTGTAGATCATCATATTTTTTATTTATTATTTTATTATTTATTAGTCGATATTAACGATTTTGTTTTGCATCAGTATTATTTATTAACAATCAATAACGTCACATTATCCAGTAAGAAAAGTGTTGTAATTGCATACCTGTAATTGATCACCGATGTTAATAACAAAAGCATCGGGGTGGGGATTAACAGCAAGCCATTTGCCATCTTTGAGTACCTGAAGACCTGCAACTTGGAGGTCTTGAAGTAAAATAGTAAGAGCATTGGGGTCTGTATGTCCAGGCAAGCCATAGGTGAGCTCTGGTTTGGGACATGGTGGGTAATAGTTCACTGCCATATGTTGCCCTTGCTCCCCTAGAACCTTCTTTATGTAATCCTTTTCCAGCCCTAAGCTCTCTGATATTAGTTCTTGTAATCTGTATCCAAGTTCTCGAACTTCAGCGCAGTAATCACTCACAATTTCCCTATCAACATCAAATTTTTATACTTTATCAATACAACTAAATCCATAAATTTTTTTGAAGATAGATTCATATATATTAACAACATAAAATTTTTGATAAAATTTTAAAATAGATATCATCATTAAAATATATAATTAAATAATGAAAAGTTAAATTTTCAAGGTAAACACGTGCCCACCTTGAAGAAGTAATTTGATAATCCTGCATTGGCACATTAGGATTAAGATTCAAACATTGATAACATTCTTTTTTTTAGGCTAAATTGTTGGGATAATAATTTGAGGGGGGGGGGGGAATTGGCTCAGAATTTTTTTTTGTTAAAATATTATGAATGTTAGGGGGGGGGGGGGAATTGGCTCAGAATTTTTTTTTGTTAAAATATTATGAATGTTATAATGTTAGTAAGAAATATTCTGACCATTTGACTCGTTTAGAAAGAAGCATTGAAAATACGAAATCTACCTCAAACTACATACAGTCTGATAGTAAAAATTATGGTAACCTAAAACCATTTAGTTTAGAATTTACCCAATCGTCCTGTCGTCTTCTAAAAATCAATAAATAATCTAAACATTTTCCAATAAATACAATAACAAGAACCGTACTTAAAAAATAATAATTTTTCATACCCCTTACATGAAGGAATTCATTTTCTCACTGTATTGTCTAAGCAATTTTACCCTGTTTCCATATTATAATTTTATAAAAAAAAAATCAAAACAAAACGCAATACCCATCATTATTATAATATCATTAAATTATGATTATTTTATTAAGTATGTTATGATAAAAATATATTAAGTAATTAAATCATGAACAGTAACGTGACAGTTGTATAAAACTAAAATACACTAATACAGCCGAGTCGGCGCCTTGTAGTCAGAGCTTTGCATTTAGCTCATAGCCACCTCTGTGGGCCCCAAATATTCATTCAATACTAATATCTTATCCCATTTGATTACGTCAACACGGCATTTATCCTATGACGTCACTAATCTTCCTCACATTCCCCTGCAATCACGTATGTGACCCATCTAACCTACCTAACGAACGATTCCGATCTCAGCTTTTGTTCCGATCTAATTTTATTTTTCTAAAATTATATATACTCAAAATATTATAAGTTTATCCTTAACATAAAATTATATATTTATTTTTATATCTAATTATATTATAACTATTAAAATTTACTATTCATTTTTAATAGTTTGAGGTGATTATAAGATAATATTGTTTAAAAAATTAGTTTATTGATAAAACACACACCCAACATATAGACATGGACCGAATGAGAGCTGGGGCAGTCACCCTCCTAAAAGTTTCAAATTATCTTATATTTTTAGATATTTTTTAAAAATTTTCTATTGATAATTTATTTTCGTCTTCTTAAAATTTTATAAATCTATTCACTCTTAAAATTTTAAAAATTTGCTACTTTTAACTTAAAATCATATATTCGTTCCCAAACACAACTATTTAAATCAAATTCTAAACACACCTAAAATTGAGCTAATTGTACTCAAACTATAATCCTCAGTTTAAATTGGTCCTAAAATTTTTAAATATTTTAATTTCATTCTTAAACTATGTATCTTATTCTAAATTAGTCATTGAGCTTTTAAACATTATAATTCCATCCCTAAATTATGATCTTCTTTCTAAATTAGTCCCCAAACTTTTGAATATTTCAATTTTATCCCTAAATTCATACAAATATGTAATTGATTTCAACCATAATCTAACATAAATTTTATTTTTTTTCAAACATATAATAATATAACTTGACCTAACGATGCTATTAACAAGAGATGTGATAAGTTTATACGTATAGTTTGGGATGAAATTGGAGTGTTTAAAAATTTTGGGGGCCAATTTAGAATGAAGTTCATAGTTTGAGAATGAAATTAAAATATTCAAAAGTTTAATGATTAATTTAAAATGATAGCCATAGTTTAAGGATATAATTATACTATTTAAAAATTTAGAGACCAATTTAAACTAAAGATCATATTTTAAAGATACAATTAACTCAAAAAATAACATATTCTACTATCATCTATACCCTCACTATATTAAACCCTACTAAAGTGAGAAGAAAAAGGTTAACGTGGCGGGACCAAACATGTCTTGCTGGAATAAAATATCTCTGACTAGTTAATCAAATGACTTATCTCCTGCTTGTCCGTTACTTACGAATAAGCCATTGACATCTGGCCCACACCCGACTCTTCTGGCCGTGGATGTATCTCTTAAGAGACTTAAAATTTTATGCGAAAGAGCGGTGTATTTATAAAATTTTAAAAGTAATAAAAATATATTTTTAACTAAAGTATAAAAAATATTTAAAATATATAAAAATTTAATTTTTTTAGGGAGAGTGAATGTCTAACTCCATCTAACTCCATTCCTGCATCCCTTAAAAGCACTACAACTGCCGATGTTACTAGTATTGTCCTTGCTACCAGCAAAGAGCATGTAGGTTTTGAAGCTTAGGTACAATACATCTCAAGTAATATACTAGTAGATATTTGATCTGTTGATCGATTATTTTAGATTAAATTTTATAAATATTTATTATGGGACAACTTTTTTAATTTAATTTATTCTTTTTATAAATATCAAAATTCGAACTTTTGATATTGTTTAAAGAGCTTAATATCTCATTCTATTAGATAAACCGGTTAGTAGTTAATAGCCCAGCTTTAAATTAAACATCAGATCTCACGCACATGCAGTATGCATCATTAGTTTACTTTTGATTCCATGCAATATATTAAACTATATATGTTTTGCCGAACCGCCCATCATTAGAACATGCATGACGCATACACTGAAAATGGATGACGGTAGGCAAATTACGTGTGTTTCAAAGAAAAAGGAAGAGAAAAGACTTTACTTGAAGGAAGGAGGATTGGAAGGCCACTCAGGAACATACTTGTGGAGAGGATGACAGTGTAAGCGTAGATAGTCTCTCCAGTTATGAACAGTCTCCTTTTTCACATTAAAACTGGTGGAAAGTCTCGTGGTTTTTGAAGGGTCATCGGAGTAAAGCTTCAACTTCTCCTCCACCGGCAACTGGAAGAAGCCGTGCGCTACTTCTAACATCCTTTCCACCGTCTCTTTCGAAACTCCATGATTGATAACCTCAAGTCATATATATATTATAAAATCGTTAGTACCGACTAGTAAGTAATAATCAAATAATAAAGGAAATGAAACGATTTACTATGGTATGGTATAAGTTTCTGTCTTAGAATCAATTTCGTCTGGATTAGTGTAAAGAAGTGAAATCGTTTGTGCTGCTCTCTTCTATAAGAATTTTTTTCGAGAAAGAAATACAAATAAGAGTAGCAGGATTTGCAGGGACTAGTAGTAGTACCTGAAAAAAGCCATAGTTGATGCAGGCAAGAGAAATTTGTTGTACAACATGGCTCCTGTCCGGACACCCCAAGTCGATGACCGGGACGTTTTCGAATTCCGAGACTTCGGACAAGCGGGGACGATCGGATTCAGGTCTCACATAGCTTTCTGGCAAATCAGAGTATCTGACTCCAGAAGAAAGAACCTTTGCATCCATTGCTGTCCACACCCAAAAGAAAAGCAAATCACAGTTGGAGAGAGGGTTGAATGTTGCTTTAGCTTCGAGGTGAATGATGATACTATGTTAGAACTTGAGAATCTTTGTACGTTTATTTATAGAGATCCATTGGATTGAATGACTTCTCTTCTCATTTTAAATTATTTTTTTGGGGCTAAATCTGGATGAAATATTAAAATTATATAAATCTTATGTTGAAAGATGTTAATATTTAGAACGATAAGTATTAAAAATATTAATATTTTTTATTATTTTGTTAGGACGAATAATATATTTCAGAAAAAAATATGTTATTTAGATTTGATGAGTTTAAAAAATAAATATAAAATATAAATAATTATATTAAAAATAATAGTATGAAAATTTAAATTGTAGATTTCATTGAATTTATAATTTTTTAAATAATTTGAATTTATAAAAAAAATCAGTCGAGTCATTTTGAAAATATCATACCCAATTGAGTACTTTTTAAACTTTAAAAACTCATTTAATGACTTAATGATAAGAGAGAATGTTATTCTCTTTGAAGAATTCGGATTCGAGCTTATACAAACTGGTGTTATCTTATTATGTCGATTACATCAAAGAAATTAAAATTTCATATCCAAAATAAGACTAATAAATACTCACTTTATTGCAAACTTTAACCTATCATTTTTGTTTTATTGCACACATATCTTACGGACGTAACTTCTCAAACTTAAAATTTCTAACTCATCGTTTTTAAATTATAGTAGGGAATCTCAAAACTCATTGTTACTCTAATACAATGTTTATTCTATTGAAAAAATATTCAAGGAATAACATTAGACTCAACGGATAAGAAACAATTGAAGATTTTTTAATGAATTTTTTAATAAGTTTTTTATTTTTAGTATTTTTATATTATTATTTTTAATTATTTATTTAAATATTAAATTAACTTTTTTACTTTCTAAAAGATCATTAAGTATCTTTATCACCTCATTATTTACATGTGGACCCACATATTAGTATTGTAGACCTTCCATATTAATACAACAACGGTAATAATAATTTTTATTGATAAAAAGATAACATCGATAATTTTTAGTGCTTGAGGGTTTAATTATGTATGATTTTTATAAAATAGTTTAATTTATTTTTTTGAGTTGGCGGCCTAAAAACTCCCTTAATCCAAAAAAAAAACTTTGTAGGTGAAATTGTAATAAAAATTTTGAACTATCCAAATTTCCCTTTTAATTTTTTTATAGAATTTGAAAATATTCATTATATTTACATAAACAAATAATTTATTTTTAAATATTAAAACCAAGGTTGTTCATCAAAATCCCTCCCCAAACACACTATTAATTTTGTTATTTTAGTTTAATATTAAAATTTGCTTATAGGATTCGTTTAATATTAAAATTTTCTTATAGGATTCATGTTATATATATATATATATATATATATATATATATATAGCTAAAATTAAACGTTTTATAGAATTAAAACATGAAAGAAAAAGCTATAAGTATTTACCAAGACTAAAGAAAGTAACTTTTAGAATTTATGGACGGCAGTGTGTTTGAAGCATGATTTTCACATTTACGAAACGTAACCAACTTCGGTTAACATCAAGACAAAAATTATATTTATGCGGTATCTCAAGTTTAATTATATGATATTTGTTAAAAAAAATTATAAACGGTAATAATAGATATATTTAGGGATTTGGGGTGAATAGTCACTTCCCGTTCATGTATTGAAATTTTTAGGGATTTAAGGTGACGACAAGGATGACAACTAGTGAGTGGTCATTTGACTATAATGACGGTGGTCGAAGGTGGTTGACGACTGAAAATGGAATGAGAAAATTAAAGATTTTAGATTTTGAGTTTTCTTATGTTAAAGAAATTTAGGTTTAAAAAAAACAATAACTTTAAGTTATTTTTCAAACAAAATTTTCAAAAATATTTAAATAGGATATGTGTTAGATAACATGTTTTTATATGGTGTAAACCCTTGAAAGATTAACGTTGGAAACATTAGACATTTAATTTGAGCGAAAAATACTTTAGGCACTTAAAGTTAACAAAGAATAAAATTTGAACGTTGTAGTAACCATCATTCGGGTGGGCTCGAAATTGAGCTTCGACTTAAATAAAACATTTTAGAGCTGACACTAATAATTTATTTAATTAATTAGGTTGACCTGACACCTTAATTACCATCTTACATGATCTGCGTTTACCAGAAATATGTCTGATTCAGGAGTCTATTACAGTCAAGGAATGATTAGCACCCTTGTACTGCCCTTTCGGTACTAATTTAATTTCTCGGTTGTTTTAATTGTGAAAATTTAAAGGTTAAATTAAAATTTAAAGATTCGGTCTGAATTACTTACATTTGATTGATTGAAATTATCCTAAAAAGGTCAAAATGTTAAATAAAATAAAATAAGAAAAAAAGAAAAATTAATATTAGGGTTAGAATAAAGTAAATAAAGAACTAAAGAAAAATTAAAAATATAAAAAATATATAAAAATAAAATAGAATTAAATAAATAAAAGGAAATCTAAAATTAAATTGGAAATGATTAAGGATCAAATTGAATTAATTAAAGCTGCAAATACCAAAAAATTAAAGTTAGAAGATTAAATTGCAAACATATAAAATATATAACTGGGATTAAATTGGAATGATTCAAAATTAAGGGGTTAATTTACAATAGATGACTAGAATGAATTACGCTTCAAAACTACAGGGACTGTGAAAATGATTTAACTATTTACTATTTGCACTTTAGTCCCCTGTATATATAACCCCTAAAAACCCAAAATTATCTCATATTTCACTCATCCCTTAAAAACATTATCCCTCCTCTTATAAAACTCTCTCAATTCTCCCCTAGTCGGCCACCCGCCGGCCTAGAGCTCCAGCGCTAACCGTCGCTGATCCGCCCCTCCGACCGCCTCCTCCAATGATCGGAAGACTAAAATCCTACCCCAAAACACTCTCTTCGACACCCTAAAAGTAAACGCGAGCCCTAAATCCTTGAAACAAGCCCTATATAGCATAGATCTAAAAATATTCGTTTGGTTTTTACCTTTCCCGGTGAACTTTCCAACTTCCGACGGCTTTTTCTTCTCCGATGATGCTCTCACGTGTTCCTACAAACCCTTGATGAGGCAAAGCTTTGCCTTTTGGTTTCGATTTCGAACGTTTATGGTTTTGTTTTTTTCAATGTTTTTGGTTTGGTTGCTTTCAATTTTGGCCGAATGCTGCTTGTTTTTGGTTGTTTTTCTTGCTCAATGTTGCTATATTTTGTTTCGTTTCTCTCGGTATTGTGATGGTTATTGTGGTCTTGTTGCTCGTATTTCTCCCCTATTTTTTGCTCTCTCGGACGAGGCTTTTATAGCCCTTGATCAGTCATTTTGGTCCCGATGATCTCGGGGTCATCCTCGACTTGTTCACGTTATGTTGAGGTCGTCATTGGGCTGAAAATCCCGGGATGGTTCAGTCCAGGCATTCGACCGAAAAGTTTTGGCCAACTTGTTGGCGAGTGGTCTCCATGCGTGCTGCTTACTTCCTCTCGTGCGACGCTTGGCTTTATATGATTAAGGTTTTGCAACTCTATTTTTCTTCGATCTCAGCCATTGATATGGTGCTACATTGAGCTTGATTTGTCCCTATTTTGCATATAGGCTGGTCCCAGGCGTTCGACCGAAAGTTTCGGCCAACTTGTTGGCGCGTGGCCTTCACTCGTGCTACTTGCTTCCTTTCGTACGGTGTTTGGCTTCATATGATTAGGGGTTTGCAACCCTATTTTACTTCGATCTCAGTCGTTGATCTGGTGCAGCGTTGAGCTTGATTTGTGAAACTCTATTATGCATATGGGCTGGGTTAGGCCCCCCTAACCGGGCTGGTTTGTTAGGTTAGGCCTACTGGCTCGGTTGGGCTGCACTTTGGACTGGATTGGATCTGTTAAAATTTAATAAATAAATAAATAATAATATAACCTAAAATAATAATAAATAACATAAATAATAAAAATTATATAATATATATTATATTCCCGAAAACTATATAATATATATATTATATTCTCAAAAACTATATAATATATTAATATATTTTCGAAAAAAACTGTTTTCAAAACCATTTTAAAAACTATATATTATACGTTTTCAAAACTGTTTTAAAGTTATACACGTTTTCAAAATTATTTTAAAAACTATATTATAAGTGTTCAAAATTATTTTAAAAAACTATATATGTTTTCAAAATCGTTTTTAAAAAACACACGTTTTCAAAACTATATTTTTTAAAAAAAACTATATATTATATATTTTCAAAATTATCTTAAAAACTATATGTTTTCAAAATCGTTTTAAAAATATATATTATACGATTTTTTAAAAGTAAGTTTCCAAAAATTATATTATATTTCAAAAACTATTTTTATTATATATATTATGCTATATAAAAACCTCGGACGAAAATACGTGTCTACAAACACTTATTTTTTTCATTAAGCCAAATAAATATTATATTAATATAATTAGGAGCGAAATATACTTTTAACTTTTATCATTATTATTTTTTTATAGTTTTAACAACTCATTTTAGATGATTTGTATTTTATAAATGTTGTTGAATATCACTTGTATTTAGGGACGTATGTAAATTTTTATATAAGAAGTGAATTTTATATTTAGTAACTTATATTATTAATTTAAGGTACGAAGTTATACAAATTTTAAAATATAATAAAATAATTAATATAAAAAGATAATTAAAGTATATGAAAATGAACTATGGCTTGTATTTTATAAAAAGGTTCCTAGAGAACGTTAAAATATAACTAAAATCACAACCATTTATATAATTTTTTATAGGTAACTTTGACCTTAAATTTATCTTTAAATTTAGTACTTATCCTACAACTATTTCCCTCTCTCTTGTTGGAGGTTTGTTCAAATATGACTATGAAAAGTAAGGCAACTATTTCATGCATGTAAAACGGTAAA